TTATTGTGTCAGCATCAAGTGACGGCTGAAGGGCTTCTCAAACTTTAAACGCGTTTTTCTCTAAACATTTTTTTGCGAATGGCGGGCACGATAACTCAAAAACTAATAACCCAATCGATTTCAAATTTTTACAGGTTTCTCTGTGAGTGTATAGCTATCGTATGAACTAGGATAAAGCCAATCGGTGAAGATCTTCCTTATTTTTTAACTTGGTTTTTGGTAAAAAATCGGCGATTTTCCAAAAATATTTTTTCAAAGGTCCGCCATTTTGTTAATTTTAGAGCGAAGTCAATAATCCATACGAGAGCCAGACATGTACTCTTTCTAACACCGTTGGAATTTTCGGATTCCGATGTTCCAGTGAGGAGTTATCATGCCCGCCATCAAAAATAAGGACTTTTCTTTGATCACAAAAAACAACAACAAAACAACAACAAATTTTTTTTTGTAAATTATTTTTCTTCCTCTTTAAATCTTCAAATATATATGTGCAAAGTTACAAACCTTAACAAGCATTGGTATTCATTTACCAGCCCATTTAAAATCTTAAAAATAAAAAATCGAGAATGGGGGGGTTCCCTTAAATTGAAATGATGTATATGTAATAAAATGAGCAGCACTCCGGTCTTATTTCATGAAATGCGGAGCTCAAAAGGCCAAATGCAAATACTGCTGTAGCTAGGAATAATAGTCGTTATATAAATTTAAGCATCATTTAAAAGCAAAGCAATGTGCTGCCTTACGAATTGAACTGAGTGATCAATTTGAACGATGTGAACCGACCGATTTCACTTTTAAAAAATTACCTAGTTCGTTCGATCACTGCACTGAATGAGATTGCCCAAGACTACTCCTGGGCAGGGCTGCCATATTTGCCGATTTATCGGCATTTTGACGATTTTTCACTGTAAAAATGGAAAATGCCGATTTTCCGATTTTTGCCTCAGAATTGCCGATATTTCAACAATCGACAAAAATTGCCTAACTTTTTAATTTAATACGGCGTTACCATACAAACATATAAAATTGGCAGCTTTAAATCATTATAAATATCGGCGACTCGCCGCAGCCCTTTTCAATGGCTTAGATATCTGCATTTTTTGTCAGCATTGTACTCTGTCTAGTTTACATTTTACATCGAATAAGGCAAAATTAACAATAAACGAATAAAAAGTGCGCACACGAAAGAAAGATCTCACTAGTGTACATAATAATTACTATATTAAAAAAAAATCTAAATTTTTTTGTAGAAAAATTAATCTTTTATGTTATTTTTTTATACAGAATTGAATTTTTTTTAGTGTAATCAGGGCTGCCATATTTGCCGATTTATCGGCATTTTGACGATTTTTCACTCTAAAAATGGAAAATGCCGATTTTCCGATTTTTGCCTCAGAATTGCCGATATTTCAACAATCGACACAAATTGTCTAACTTTTTAATTTAATACGGCGTTACCATACAAACATATAAAATTGGCAGCTTTAAATCATTATAACTATCGGTGACTCGCCGCAGCCGTTTTCAATGGCTTAGATATCTGCATTTTTTTGTCAGCATTGTACTGTGTCTAGTTTACATTTTACATCGAATAAGGCAAATCTTTAGACTCCGAGTTTAGGGAGTTAAACTTTTTGAATTTTGAAAAAATTTTTGAAATTAAAAAGTTTTTGGAAAAAAAATTCCGAAATTAAACGTGGGGACTCCAATTTAGCTTTTCCAGTTTTGTCTAAATTTGTACAAAGAATTATGGTTCTTCCACACTCCACAGCAAATGTGGAACGAATTTTTAGTCAGGTAAACCTTAACAAAACTAAAATTAGAAGCTCACTTAAGAATGATTCATTGGAAGGGATTCTTTATTCTAAATATTACCTCAAACTAAATAATTCAAATTGTTTTAATATCAAAATTGATAATGAATTACTAAAAATGTGTAATAAAAAGATATCTGCATTTTTTGTCAGCATTGTACTCTGTCTAGTTTACATTTTACATCGAATAAGGCAAAATTAACAATAAACGAATAAAAAGTGCGCACACGAAAGAAAGATCTCACTAGTGTACATAATAATTACTATATTAAAAAAAAATCTAAATTTTTTTGTAGAAAAATTAATTTTTTATGTTATTTTTTTATACAGAATTGAATTTTTTTTAGTGTAATCAGGGCTGCCATATTTGCCGATTTATCGGCATTTTGACGATTTTTCACTCTAAAAATGGAAAATGCCGATTTTCCGATTTTTGCCTCAGAATTGCCGATATTTCAACAATCGACACAAATTGTCTAACTTTTTAATTTAATACGGCGTTACCATACAAACATATAAAATTGGCAGCTTTAAATCATTATAACTATCGGTGACTCGCCGCAGCCGTTTTCAATGGCTTAGATATCTGCATTTTTTTGTCAGCATTGTACTGTGTCTAGTTTACATTTTACATCGAATAAGGCAAATCTTTAGACTCCGAGTTTAGGGAGTTAAACTTTTTGAATTTTGAAAAAATTTTTGAAATTAAAAAGTTTTTGGAAAAAAAATTCCGAAATTAAACGTGGGGACTCCAATTTAGCTTTTCCAGTTTTGTCTAAATTTGTACAAAGAATTATGGTTCTTCCACACTCCACAGCAAATGTGGAACGAATTTTTAGTCAGGTAAACCTTAACAAAACTAAAATTAGAAGCTCACTTAAGAATGATTCATTGGAAGGGATTCTTTATTCTAAATATTACCTCAAACTAAATAATTCAAATTGTTTTAATATCAAAATTGATAATGAATTACTAAAAATGTGTAATAAAAATATGTACTAGTTTGTAAGTTATTTTTATGACCTTAATATCACACTGTGTTATACGTAAATCTGAAAGAACTCACTAGTGTACATAATAATTACTATATTTTAGAAAAATCTACATTTTTTGTAGAAAAATGAATCTTTTATTTTTTATACAGAATTGAATTTGTTATCCTTTTTTTAATGTAATAAACAATATTGACCTGTTATAATCCAAAAAAATATGAATTTATTTATAAATTATATGCTGCCGATTTTTAAAAATACAAATGCCGATTATGCCGATTTTTTTCTGAAAAATTGACGATTTTTCATGAAATTTAACTGGCAGCACTGCTCCTGGGCAATGTTACGACTGCCGATCAAACATTTCCTATCCAGCCAACAAGATTTCAAATTTATTTTGTTAAAAGAGTAACACCACTCAGAAGTCGTTCTATCCGTTTAATCGAGCGATCATCGAAGAAACAATGCCACCAATGGAAACTCCGAAGAAATCCCAAAAGAATGGCAAAGTTCAAAACCTCACGCTACAGATAGAACGATGTACCTCCTCATCGCGGGTGTGTGATTTTTCATTTTGCAATGAAAGTAATTGAAGACTGACTACAGAAATGATCCTGTGAAGTATAGTCTTAACTTTTCAACGGCAAATGCGAAATATATTAACGAACTGTAAAGTGAACTGAATGAGAATTATAAGTGACGAAAATATAAAGGCGTATCTACAAATAGCAATGAAATACAAATTCCAATACACATGTTTGTTATGAATGATGTGTATGATCGGCAACACCATCTGGTTGTGCAGAGGTGCGGTGACGATCAGCAACAACAATGTGGCTACCTAATACGAAGACAGCGTATAATAGGCCTGTTGCTGTTGGCAATGTGAACAGAAATAAACATCAGCTAGTATAGTTGTGTGTTCGTATTTATTTTCGATGGGCATATTTATATTTTGTTGTTGTTATTTTGTGTTCTTAATTGGCACGACAATTGTTTGGTTGTCAGGTAGAATTTCAAAATCAAATTCGAGTTGCTTAAAAAAGTGTTTAAAGATGAAAGGTGTAAAATGTATAGATTATATTTTTTTTGAAGATCGAACTCGCATTTTCCAACTGAAGTGATGTTAATTGAGCTTTTAGCCCCTTAGTAACAAAGTTTTTGGCAGACAATTTTTATACAGGTCAATTTTTTACTTATTTCGTTGTTAGTCCCATTTTGTAATTCCGTATAAAATTTTTAAGGAAGTCATATAAAATCAAAAATGTCGTGCCTTAGTGGATTGTCAGTAAAAACGCTACAGTTAGGGACCAATCGTCATCAAATTTTACACGTAGGTCCGGTTCTGGCCAAAGAAGGTCCCTATTGTAATGATCGGTTAATATTTAGGGGATCAAATGGACCAAACAATTTATTTTTGTATTTTTAGTGGTCCTTGTAGAGCCAACAATTATGACCCGAACATTACGAAATTTTGCACTGAGAAGGGGATCTGACCAAGAATAATTTGCCAATATTTGGCGGATCAAATGGACCCAAACTACTGTGTGAAAAGTGACATTTGCTTTCTATGGCGTATATGTTTACTACTGAAGGGCATATAAGCCCAGACATTAGTATGTAAAATAGGAATATTAAATTTGTATGATTTAAATGTTCAATCTCGGAAAATATGACTCGAACAAAATTTCAGGTAAGAAGGATGAGTTGTTAACCTCTAATCGGTCAAGAGAGTGCAAATATCTAAAAATATTGTACAGGCTTCGCAGAAAGTTCGACTTCAGTTGTATTTGTGTAGGGTTTCATATGGTCGGCCTCGTTCGAATATACCACTTCGTTCACGAGTTTAAAAATGAGGTTGAATCGACTTACGGTGAGTGAACAGGACTATGTAGAGATGATCAAGTTAAAAACCCACTACCAATTCAAGGTCTTATAAATATAGTCACTTTTCGATTTCATTATGCAAAATTTCATGAGACAGATAGGGCCATGTAAGTTTTTTTAATTTTTTAACCAAATCCATTTCAGACAATTTGCAATCGATTTACAAAAGTCTGCCCTCCATATTGACATTCCAAAACACACACCTTATTTATATAAAATATATTTATTTTTAAACATTACAATGAATTTTAAATTACATTTAATAAAATGAAAATAAAAATGTTCACATAGGCATTCAATATGTTTTTTAGGCCTTCAGACCAATTTCTCCGGGATTGAAAATCTTTACATTACGATCATTGACCTTGTACAAGACTTCCTTTGTCGTATAGTTAGATTCAAAACAATTATCTTCTTCATCCTGGAAACGTTTAATCAACAGCTTGCCATCAACTTCACGGAAAACACCACTCTTCAGCTTAATCACTTGAATGTGCACGGAGCCCAATTTCGAAACATTATTATCATCCAAAGCGTACAGATCGGCATTACTCATCTTCGTGATAATTGATAAATTTGCAAATTCTCGAGTCAAGGCGACCAAACCATGACACAAGTGCTGAATATCCTCCTTGGAAGCACCCAAATTAAAAAGTATAGATAGATTATCAATAATCACGGTATTGTGAATACGCGCCGTGAATGTTGTACCCGTCGTCAATTGTTCTCTGATGTCATTCAATAGCAGATCACTCAATTTGTGTTCACGTGACAACCATTTGCAGCTCAGGAAATCTTTGGCCATATCATTGGAGGGATCAATGACGCCAAGTGTCTTGCCCAAGAAAATGTTACAATTATAACCCAAACGCATGCCAGCATTGAAGTAATGCTGATAGTTATGTTGCAGACACACCAACAACGTTCCGGCATTCGAGATACGTAAACGTTGTCCCAAAATGGAACTAATCAGAAAACTGCCATCGACATTTGATTCTTCGCTAATGTGTATGAAGGATGGCAGTTTCTGTTCGTTTAAACCGCAAGCAAATAGAACGGAAGCAGCCATGGTGAGTGTGGGTGTTTAGCTATATAGCGGAAATTAAAATCTGTAAGTAGATAGATAAAGGAAGAAACAAATAATTAAATATAACATTTATTGGATAATATTAAAAAATGCATTGATTTAAAAATTAAAAAAAGAATACTTCATGTGGCCCATGAGGGGATCGAACCCGCGACCTTCGCGTTATTAGCACGACGCTCTAACCAACTGAGCTAATGGGCCGTTGTTGCACCGTGTTCATAAACACAATATGAGCGTTATGCCACATCAACGACTATTTACATACATAACACTGGGTGACTCATAACACAGGCTGTTTAAAAATGTATGTATATTGTCAATAGCAAAAAGCTTTTTTCAGAAGTTCTAATGAAAGCTTAGGAGTAATAAGACGAAACGGAATAAAGTGAAAAATCGTCAGCATTGTTTACATTAGACATCTGCAAGAATGTACTCGTACAATGAATTCCCATCCGCATTCATGGGTGTTAAGTCGTATTCAGAGTACACAACAATTTTGAATGAGTGCAAATGAATTCAACCACCGAAGATGTGTTGTTCTTCATTGTGCTCTGTCCGATCAAACGATCAAACTCGAAAGCACAACATTCAGTATGATGGATTACAAGAACAACTTATACAACATCAATGAGTCCAATGAGTGAACATCATGCATTGTATTTTGTATTATATGTTTTCATTCAACACTTAACATTAATGGTGGGCATTCATTGTACAGGTTCATTCATGCAAATGTTTACCTTGTACAATCTTCCAAACTTTATCAGTGAGCAATAGTGAGAAATAATGTATTTTATTTTATTAAATACAAGTAATTAATAACTCTAGAAAAATAAGTATCTTCCGTCGTTTCCCCAAATATTGCAAATTAGAGTACAAAGTAATATGAGGACAATTTGTAGTACTGAATATCCCCCACACTATGGGGTATCCAATTCGAACCCAAATTAAAACGAATTTTTATATGTTTAAAAGGGCGTTTAAAACATTTAAATATTGAAAAAGGGGAAGTACTGCTATATAGTGGATACATTACTAGATATTCATAAATGTTGCTCTTATTAAGAATATATATATACTTTAAATGGGCGGAAATGATTATTTCGATGAGTTACAAACGAAAACAAAAAAACATAACATACCCTTCATACTTTTGTAGATGGTATAAAAACCATAATATCTCTTCAATTAATTCGGGTAATTCGAATACTACTGTATAATTCGACACTCTCATTTTGTAAAACAGGTTCGTGTACGAACTTGTCGCATTTGTTCAAACTTTTTGTGTTACAACATACATTCATACCGAAGTAAACATACACAATGAATACCGGTTCGTCGAGTTTGAAACGTGGATTGTATGAATCCAACGAATATACAACAAATTCGAAACTCTCATACCTGAAGCAATTCATGTTTGTTGTACCCTCACTCATTGCACTTCATTTCCAACAAATTTATAGAATAGAAGCCATTACTTTGTGTGAGTGACTCATGGGTGGTGTTTTTGTGCATTCATGCAGATGTCTAGTTTACATCAAACTAGTGTCGACATAGAGAATTTGTATACCCTAAAGAACTATGTTGTAAGCGTATTATTGCTTTGTGGGGAGGCAAGTGTTTGTAACGCCGCAAAATATTAGTCCTAGACCCATACGAGTAGATCTAGACATATACGTCCGTCCATCTGTCCATTATAATTCGTTATGGACCAGTCGTCACGAAAGGCATGAAATGGACCCACAACTTTGTTTTTCGGATCGCACTAAAGGCTACAATTATGACCACGACTTGTTCATCAGGAAGGGAAGCTGGCCAAAGAATAATAAGTATTACCATTACCACATTAGATGGCGAAATGTAGCGCTTATGGCTAGGAAATTCAGCTTGAGGTTCCGGTCATGGCGATCAGACCGATCGATTGGTTCCCTTAATATTTAACGGGTCAAAGGGTCTAATACCATCGAAATATTGGTATTAGACCCCATGTGTCTTTGGACCAAATCCGATGCAGATAATTTGGAGTCGATTAACAGATGTCCGCCCGGCTGGTGCGATAACTCTCGAAATGAGCATACGATTTCATCCAAACTTTGCACATCGTAATATTTCTATCAAACTTACTTCAAGTTCGAAGATGGGGAATATCGGTCCACCGCTTCTGGTACCTCCCCCAAAACTTGGTCATAATTGTGCAAAACAATAATTCTATAATATCATGCGAACGGACTATCCGATTGTAACCAAACTTTGTACCACCTTTGTCATGTCTAGAACTAGTCAGAAGATGGGACCCTTGGTCTATTCATTCTGGTACCTCCCCAACAAAGGTTCAACATTTTCAACTTTTATAAATTCAATATTAGGCGAATAGAATGCCCGATTTGAACCAATCTTTGCACAACCTATTATCTTTACCAAGCCAGGATCAAGTCGGAAGGTGGGACCCGTCGACCCTTTCCTTCTGTTAGTTCCCCCACCAAGGGTCAATATTTTATAATCTTGTAAATTTAATTTGAAGCGAAGGGAAACCCCGATTTGATCAAAATTAAATCCGGAACCTTTTATTATAAAAAAAATATATACCGTATATGAAGCTAGTAATAAAACCTGCCTGTAAGTAATTCCGAAGACATCCGCAAACAATACGCTGAGGGTATATTTCTGTCGGCAATACCGACTGACTCTGGTCCTTAAATGTGAGTCCGACTGACTCTGGTCCTCAAATGTGGACCGATATCGATAATTTTTGCTTTGGGAGATTTGCTAATGAGAATTTAAAATAAATATCGAATAACGGGAAGTACCATTATAAGACAACTACCATAAAAAGTGTACATCTATCGAAAAATTTCTGGTAGGCAAATTTTCCACCCAATGGGAACTCAAAGTACTAAATTACAGTTAATTCGGTTGAAAAGCGTACCAAAAATTTGCCAAGTATAAAATAATAGTGGGTACCGTTACATGGGGCCGATCTTAAAAAATGGACCAATGTTTACAATATTTGGTAATTCCGTTGAAAAACGTGCTAAAAAAATTCCAAAAATACAGAGGGTACCATAATATGGGGGCTATACCAAAACGGGGACCGAGATCTCACATTTTGAATACCAAACATTCTAGGGGTTCTAACAATGTCTGTGCATAATTTGAAACTTCTATTTTAAGTATAGCGTTTTCTATTATATCAACAGACTATATGGTCATAAAACTTTATTCTAATCAAAAATATGCAATATATACTATGCGGGGGCTCCTCCGATCAATATTTCGAGTTGTTTAAAAAGTAATAACAAATTTAAAACTAAAAAAAAAGAATTTTATTGGCCCATGAGGGGATCGAACCCGCGACCTTCGCGTTATTAGCACGACGCTCTAACCAACTGAGCTAATGGGCCGATACTACACGACGTCTTATTGATTTAAATAAAATGAATGCAATACACATTTTACATGTAAGTATGAGTGTGACATCATCCATTTGTATTTATGATTATCAATTTAAATAATAAAAAATTGCAATAATTAAAACAAATTGAAAATGGCAATAAAATAAAAAATTGCAATAATAAAAAAAATAAATTTTTAATGATTTAAAAAAAGTTAATTTGGCCCATGAGGGGATTTACCGTGACAGAAGCCATTTGTAGCTTATGGATTTGTAGCTAAGAATTGTACAGTTTATTATTTTTATTTTTTTAAATTTTTGAAATATTGTTCATATGTCCCACGACATAAGATTCAAATTATCTTATTTTCACGCTAAAGTCTTGCCTCATTTGACACACACTATATTGTCCAATCAATAGCAAAACATACATTCTAATTAGATGGACAGATTTCATGTAAAAAAGGTGATGTTCAGCTTATAATATACTATAAAATCGATCTATTTCATTTGATCATCACCTAAAATTATAGGAATCTTCCTTGGAAATAACCGGAACTTCATGTAAAATTTTAAAGCGATGAGCGCGATCCCATAAAACATATATGTATGCACGTTTATAACTACATATCGGTTATAACGACCGTATCCAAAGTCCCGAAAAAAGTTCGGTCATTTATTTAATATCGATTATATCAACATATCGTTTATAGCGACCAATATCGCCGATATATTGACCTTCGACGGTATATAATAACTCTGTTCATGTTTTGGCATTAAAGAATGGTCGTTCCTTTCCTTATTTCGGTATTTAAAAGTGTTTAGCTGAACTTTCCACCGAAGTGGCTGTAATTTGGCTTTCCGTGTTCTTATAAAAACCTTCGTTTTGTCACAGGACAAAACCCTCCTCGCAGAGTCCAGAGCAGTTATGGAGGGTTTCAAATGTCGTTTTTATTTATTCAAATATTGTCCTCGATTTATGTGAGGACAAAATGCTCCTGGCGAGCCCCGACCAGTGGTAGAGGGTTAAAAAAAATTATGTTACGTTTTGTGAAAATTTTTTCAAATTTCTTGCCCACATGTTGTGTTGAATACTTTTTGAAAAATTCATTTTTTAAAATGATAATTTCTGCTACGCCCCTGTTATTTTCTAACAGTTAATTAACACCTTTTAAAAATTATAAAACACGTTTTAAATGTATTTTTTTAGCAGTTTGCTAATCTAATAACAAATAAACATGTTTATAATCTATAAATGAAATTAAATTTCTAAATAAATATGACAAAAGTAATAACAATATATAAAGTGTAAAACTATATTAATAATGAAAATAAAATAATATATTACTTTTTTAGAACTATAATTGAATTAAATAACTACTACAATTATTAATTTCAATTATATCACGTGCATTGTTGTCTTCCATCGAGTGCATATTTGGCTTTTGTCAAAATTTAACATTTTTGAAATAAAGCCATCCTTGAAAAGATGACAATTATAATTTATTGCACAATCGATTACAAGAGAAACATATAATAATACCCACAACAAATACATTTACATATATACCTATGTATGTACCCATCAACA